CCTTTCTTACATGTTGAAACGGTTACTCTGTGAGTGCTGACCGGTAGGATCTCGCAGAGTTTTGTGTCGCTCTTGTAAGGCAGGGGTGGAGGACGTGCCACATATAACTACTCTCGGAGGTTGGTACAAAGCTACGCCCCTTTGAGGTTAATTTGTCCCACTGAACAATCACCCACAGACAAGCCTTCTCCACTTCTCAACTCCGTTTGCCTCAGATACCATGGCTTTTCGTTATGCTTTATGTACCTGCATAGGTGACATTGACTGATTTATAGCTGAAAAACTTTCTCGGAGCTCACACATCATGAGTGCCCGCGATACGCTTATAAATGAGCATCATACCTTATAACATAGACATATCGTGCAATATGTGAGCGGAAGCATCTAATCAGTGAAAGAGGTCACGGTAAGAAATATATCAGTGCGTGAATTGGCCTATTATTATTACTAATATTATTATTATTACTATTATTATTATTATTATTATTATTATTATTGTTGTTGTTATTATTATTATTATTATTATCATTATTATTCAAATTTTAAGTCCCTAAATCATAATGTGGTTATGAAAAATACTTTTGACGAGGACTCCAGAAATTTCGACCACCTGAGGCTCTTCAACATGCGCGTAAATCTAAGAAAACGGGCCTCTAACATTCTGCCTGCATCCTTAATTTGGTCGCTGTGGTCAGCGAGCTGGACGACTTATAGGTGTAAATAAAAATGAATGGATAGTTTAAAAATAGCATATTTTAATACGTGCGCAACGGGGAGCAATGTTCTGTTATCGAAAAGCAGAACGTTTCAGCATCTTTTCTTTGCTATTCATCGTGCGCGTCTTGTGAACAACTGATGTCGGAGGTAGAAGAATACATCTAAAGTAAAAGCAGAAAAGGCCCCAACATCGCGTGTCAGTGGCTACCGGGTCAGTGTGATATATCTTCCAACAACTTCGCTGACGAAGCTGATACAAAAGCTCATGAGAAAAAAAAACAAATCCTATTGTTCCACGTTAAACCAAAACAGATGCAGTTCATAGCAACAAAGCAATTTAGCACACAGTCATCTAGAAGAAGATCATGCATGATTTTTTGTTAATGTCGGGTTCATTCGCCAAGCCATTTTGTACGTATAACAGTAAGCGTTAGATGATTTTCCTCAAACCTGTGCCTCGGCATTGCATTCACAATAGTTGTTTTGACTGACATGGAGGATAGATTCAAAAGCATCGCCATTATTTGTGATTAAACTGTGAAACATACTCTGAACTACTGCATATCCTTTGAAATATATAAGCTTTTTTTGTACTCCGCTCTAAACTAGCCCAAGGAAAAACTTCACTACTGGAAGACTATCTTCGGACCATGCATGGCGCCGCGCATCAGGGCGTCAACAGGTTGAGGTTTTTGAAAGCGATAGGCCTGACGAAAAGTTTGTGACTGGGCACTAACAGTACTGCCAACGTTGACGACTTTCAGAATGAGCTTCTTTTACGCTCATTGCGCGAAAGGCATCAGACTTAGTCTGGTTTACCTCCCTGTTTTGCAATGGCCTGTTTCTTCACTCTCTCTTTCTTCGTTTCCCTAATGTTTTGCCACAAAGGCCTTTTTAAATCGTTTTAGTTACAAAAGAGTTTATGGTTTATTCGTGTGGTTTAAAGGGTATATATAAAGTAGGTAGGTGGGTGAGTTGTAACTGATGTAATCTTCAAAGCTTTTCAGCGCGAACGAGATTCAGCGCAAAGATGGGGACACAAACAGCGCTTGTGTGTGTCCTCTTATTTGTGCTCCGTCTCGTTCGCGCTGAAAAGTTTTTAAAGTTTACAGGGGATGTAGGCGTCTTTACTGGCACCCCACTACGTCTATCTTTGCGACGTACATATTGAATAGTTTCAAGAAGATTGATTTAAAAACAAGCGAGGACAGTCCAAAATATTTTCCATGTTCCCGTAACGTGGGAATAAAGTCACAGAAGGCACTCATACAATTTTTTTAAGATTCCTTTCACGTGTCTTCTTTGCATATATTTAGCTACCGCTGCTATTATTATTACTTAACCCATGGTGATTACAAATTGTCGCTCGTGTCAAGAACAGGACACAAGGCTTCGCTTCGACGAGGACAGCAAGGCTCTATTCACACACAAGCAAGAAAACGCAAGAGCAGACACGCAACGTCGTTGTTTTCGAAAAACGCCAGAAACTGCCACTGCTTCTTTCTCAACTGTTGTGCTTACGGCTAATATTCGTGACATTAGCCTCCTTTCCAAGAAGGCATCGTCCCGATGCTTCATCATCATGGCAGCAGGGTTTGTAGTCAGTGGCAGCGCACAGGTTCATTCGGACAAATAAGGATTCATCCTAACAACGTGCACAACTTCTGGTGCATGTCTTTTACGCCTTGAACAATGGGGACTGTCGGGATAACCTCATAATAACGCCACTGAGGCGCCGGAGGATTTTGTACAGCCCAAAGTACCGTCTCAAGAGCTTCTCTGAGACGCCACGATGGAAAACTCGGGTCCAAACTTTCTCTCCTGCTTCATAGAAGACTGGTCGGTGACAAAGATTATAGCGCCTTGTGTCATATTCCTGTTGGCGATGAATACGTACGCGGGCAAGTTGGTGGGCTTCTTCAGCAAGCTGGGTTATGTATTCTGCACTTGTTTGAACACCATCACTTTCATGCGGCAACATAGCATCGAGCATGGTTGTGCCATCACGGCCATGGAGAAGACAGGATCGTTGCCATGCGCGTTGTCTCTTGCTGTGCCGTATTGTACGCAACAGTGAAATAAAGAAGTATCTTGTCCCATGTACGTCTGCTCCAAATCGACGTACATGTAGCGCATACCCGAAAGCGTTTTGTTCAGCCGTTCCGTAAGACCATTTGTTTGTGGATGGTATGCCGTTGTACGCCGGGGAGATGTTCCACTCAGGCTTAAAACTGTGCGTAATTGCTGAGATGTGAATGTTTTTTCTCTGTCAGTTATTGCTATAGATGGACTGCCATGCCTCAGGTCTATATTCTCAATTAAAAACCAGGCTGCGTCACTTGCCGTGCCCCGCTTCAAAGCCTTGGTTTTGGTGTAGTGATTGAGGTAGTCTGTGGTTACAATTATCTATTTGCGACCAGCAGCTGAAGTAGGAAAGGGTCCTAGAAGATCCATTCCGACTTGAGCAAATGGAGTTTCCGGTACATCAATTGGATGGAGAAGCCTTGCTGGTTTGACGGCTGGCACTTTCCTACGTTGGCACTCAAGACAAGTCCGAACGTGCTGTTGAACGGTTGCCATCAGTCTCGGCCAGTAATACTTCTGTCTCACTCGGCATAGCGTTCGTGCGTATCCTAAATGAACCGATGTCAGTTCTTCATGGCACGCCTCTAGTACTTTTTCTTGAGTGGTGCTGGGACCACAAGTAAGAAGGTGTTGCTGCTCGGTGAAAAGTTCACCTTATGTAGGACCTCATTGCGCCAACAAACGGTGCTGTCCCCCTTGCGAAGAGCTTTGGCATAGCACATGTGCGTCCCTCCAAGAAATCAATAAGGGTTTGACCCTCGAGGTCGTCGCGTTGATGCTGCGCAATTGTAGACGTGCTGAACACACCGACAAACGCCACGTCGTCATCATCTTCGGCATTTGCGTCTTCTAATGGGGCGCGAGAAAGGCAATCGGCGTTCGTATGTCACTTTCCCGATTTAAAAACTATAACCATATCGGATTCGTGAAGTTTGAGGCTCCAGCGCGCCAATCGTCCTGATGGGTTCTTTATGTTCGTCAACCAGCAAAGAGAGTGGTGGTGGTGACTGATGGTTTTATAGGGGCGGTCGTACAAATAAGGGTGGAACTTCATGACCGCCAACAACAACGAACGCAAGGCCTTCTTTTTCAGTGTTGAAGTAATTCTACTCTGTACGGGAGAGTTCTACTTGCATGAGCAATTACACGTGCGGTGGCATCTTGCCACTGAACGAGCACAGCACCTAAGTCGACATTACTGGCATCGGTGTAAACCGCTGTCAGAGCGTCATCGTCAAAGTGTCAGAGAACTGGTAGGATTTGAAGGCGTTTTGTCGCAACTCAATGAACGCTGCCTGCTGCTCTTCACTTCACACGAACGTGACGTTTTCCCGGGTGAGTTGTGCCAAAGGTGATGCAATACGCGAAAAATTCTCAATGAAGCGTTGGTAATAGGCGCAGAGGCCTGAAAAACGCCTCACAGCCTTCTTGTCTGATGGCTTGGTAAAACTTGCAACAGTGGATATTTTGTCTGGGTCAGGTAATACACCTTCACTGTTGACAAGGTGTTCCAAGAAAAGAAGCTCTTCGAAGCCAAAGCGACATTTTTCTGTTTTAAGCGTTAGTCGGGCAGATTGTATTGCTTGAAATACCGTGTGTAGTCGTTTCAAGTGCTCGTCAAATGTCGCTGAAAATACAATGACATCGTCCAAATATACCAGGCATGTTTGCCACTTCAGACTTGATAGGACTGTATCCATGAGACGCTGAAACGTTGTCGGTGCTGAGCATGAGCCGAACAGGAGAACTTTAAACTCATAACCATCGGGTGTCACGAACGCTGTTTTTTCTTGATGTCTTTCGTCAACTTCCATTTGCCAATATCCGCTCCGTAAATTCAGCGACGAGAAATAACGTGCATGGCGTAGTCGATCGAGGAAATTGTCTATACGAGGTAGCGGGTAAACGTCCTTTTTTCTAACCTGATTGAGATTGTGGTAATCAATGCAGAAACGTAAGGTGCCGTCTTTTTTTTTTCACCAATACTACCGGCAATGTTCAAGAACTTTTCAACGGCTGAATAACGTCGTCCTGAAGAATCTCTCGCACCTGACTTTTTATGGCCTCAGGTTCTCTTGGAACTACTCGGTATGGGTTCTGCCAAATGGGTGTGGCTGTTTCATCTGTAATGACGCGATGTTTCGTGAACGGCGTTTGGCGAACTCTGGGCGTCGAAGAAAAACAGTCCTGCAACTCACGAATAAGCTCCAGAAGGCTTCGCTTCTGCAAGGGCAGTAAACTTGGTCCAACTTCGATGTATAGAGGGGCTGACACGGTGACATCGGCTTTCTCCTTAGGCAAGCAGCCTGCAACGGCAGTGAGCTTCTCCATGTACGCTACTGCCATACCTCTCGCCAGGTGTCGCCGCTCAGTATACTGAAGTTCGTAACCAGAACGTGTGTGGTGTGTCCACAATTGAGGCTTACGCCGGCTCTTGCAATAGATAGGCCATGGCTGAATAGCAATGCTGGAATTTGTTCGGCGATGTGATCGAAGTTGCCTGGGTGGTTGCATGTTGCAGCTATGAGAGCACTTGACCGGAGTGGAAGGGTCATGTGACCTTTGAAAACGCGCAGATGTTTACGTCGCTGATCGTTACATCTCATATCTACATCTCATATCGCTAATGTTTTGAATATCTGAACACTCTCAAGCGGTGCATGGCGTATATAAATGACTTACCGTTAAAACTCCAAGACAGTACGCCTTGTGGCGTGGTGGTTATTGCAGCGCGCTGAGAATTGACAGGTTGATATAGCTCTATTCGACGCGACAGGTGCTTGCTTTCTGGTTTTTTCTATGCAATGACTTAGTATATATTTTGCAACGTCCATTCCGTGACGAAGTACGTCCCCGGAGCCGTGGTGAACCCCGGCATAAAACACTTTTGCCTTAAAAAAGGGCCGGCGCTGCGTCAAATGCCGTTTCCGGTCTTGTATCACACCTGCACGCAATGGCTGCTTCTGCATCGATGTTTTTATTTCAGTTTCTATTTTGCCCTATTTTCATTGGTGTCTGTGGAATACGCCGTTCTTTTGACTGCGGCAATGGACGTAGCATCTTGAGAGTATCCACCCATACCTTCCACGCGTCTGTGGTTGCTCTGCCCCACCGCGGTGGTCTAGTGGCTAAGGTACTCGGCTGCTGACCCGTAGGTCACGGGATCGAATCCTGGCTGTTGCGGCTGCATTTTAGATGGAGGCAGAAATGTTGCAGGCCCGTGTACTAAGATTTGGGTGCACGTTAAAACAACCCCAAGTGGTCGAAATTTCCGGAGCCCTCCACTACAGTGTCTCTAATAATCATATGGTAGTTTTGGGACGTTAAACCCCACATATCCATCAATCATCCTCTGGTCGCTCTAAGAAAGCGTTCTGGCCACCAAAGTGACGCCGACAGTGAGGTCACGCTGATATACTCTACGGCCAGTGATGAGAGCTCGGATGAAAGGCATTTTGTCCCCGTGGCAAAGCGCAAAGCGAAGAGGAGGCTACAAATGACATCTCCTTCCCAAAGTAAGGCCATCATAAATACGCAAGATCCACTGGTTTACATTATATGTTTGCCCTACTGAATGCCGCTCACAGCAAGAACCGACTTAATCGTCAAGTCATGGTGGTGTCTCATGAGGCGCTCGTTCCGGGACAAATAGTAGCCGTGAGAATCAATGGCCGCAAGAACGTTCTGGCAATAGACGTTGCGCAACGTATACTGTTCTAGATCTACTTAGAAAAGCCAATGTGCTGGGCAACATCAACGTACGTTCTTACACACCGGATGGCAAGGAGTATAGGGCAGGTGTTGTATACGATGAAGCCACTTCTATTAGCGACATTGATTTTCCCATTCTGATCAAACCACTTACGGAAGCTACTACCATCTTGAAAGTCCGCTGTCTTGGGTACTCACGATGCGTAAAACTTGTTTTCAAGGGTAACAGTATTTCATCCCAAGCAATAGTTGGTCATTTTCGATAGACAGTGTGGCCGTTTGTACCGCGACCTCTTCAGTGTCGGAACTGCTGTAAAATGGGACACGTCAGCGCTGTTTGCACAAACTCTGCTGTGTGTTCCCGATGCTCAGAGTCGCACAACACCGAAGCCTGCCAAGCAGAAAATCGTTAGTGTGGCAATAGTCAAGGTGCACATGATGGGTATTCAAAGGGGTGCCCAGATATAAACAAGGAGATGCAAGTGCTGAGGCAGATGGTCACAGATGGTTCACTCATAGGGAGGCTGCTACTAAAGTATGACGACGGCGTTCTCGTCACAGGAGAACTTCTAGAACACCTTCCGCTAAGGGCAGGGATACACGGCCACCCCATATCACGCACTCACCACTGTAAGCACCAATAAGTGCCAGCAACAACTATCCTCGAAAAATACAAGAATCAACGAGTCATCTGACGCATGGCCAGCGCTGCCGCCAATGAATCCGCCAGTAGAGCCACAGCATCGGCCATTGAGAGCCATTCAGTGTGAGTAATTCGCGACAGTCAAGATAAGGAAGTAATAGTCGTGATTAAGACCCCCTTGAACACCATTCGAGTACTCCTGAATATTATTCAGACTCCGGCTGCTCACAGCACCCTTCAAATAGTGGATACTCTGAATCCGGCGTTGTTAAGTCTAGAGAAGCAGCGTGGTTTTTTCTTTGCAGCACTTCTGTAAACAAGTTAAAGAAGCATAAATTTTCCAATGAAATGTCCAAGGCCTTAAACCCCACATTTCAGATTTTCGGCAATTTGCATTTAAGAATCAGTTTACAAATATCGTCATTTGTGAACCACGCCCTCACAACGCCGTATGACTATCTAAATAGGAAGCTTTCAAGTCTGCGACCGGTAACGCCAACAGTAAGGTCATCGTTTATATCAGGTGCGAACTTACATATATTGAGCATCCAGTAACACTGGATGACAGCAACCAATACGTGTGCCTGAGAGTTAAACGCAAGCACTTGAATTTTACGCTAGTGGCAGTTTATACTTTGCTATACGGTCACTTTCATCTTGCATCTTGTAAGATTCATCGTCATCATCATAATCTTCATCATCATCAGCCTGACTACGTCGACTGCTAGACAAAGACCTCTACCATGTTCCGCCAGTCAACTCGGCCCTGTGCCTCCTGCTGCCAATTAATACCCGCAAACTTCTTATTCTCATCTGCCCACCTAACCTTGTAAAATATAGCGCCATTACATCAGCGACACCTGGGCGATGGATTAATCATGGTGATTTTAACACTCATCACCCGCTATAGGAAAGCTAGAAGATGCATCATCGGGAAAGACATTTGTCTTCCTTGACGTCTGACCGTCAATACTTTATTCTCTAAATGATGGCACTCCCACATTTTTACTGGGTCTGAGGTTTAATGGCTGCTTCGACCTAACTTTTGTGCCACGCAGCCCGAATACCATGTTACGGTGGTTTGCGGGCATTCAAACTCATGACAGTGATCACATCTCCACCTATATAACGATGATGTGCTTAATCAAGTTGCAGATCTCTACCTCTTCACGGATTAACTGGTCAAAGTACAGGCCATACACAGAGAAGTGGTGCAAAAGGAAACCAAGAGGGTTCTCTTGAAAGCCTAGGAGGTATAATCGAAATGGCTATCCAAGAGGCAGCATTTCATTGAACACCTTCGTCAGACTTTTGCAACTACGAAGTGGAGTTTGAGTGACTACGAGCAATCGGTCGCCGTGCCGAACGACGTTATCGGCGCATGAAATTCATCTACGATTTGAAGGAGGCGGGTCGTCTACAAAAATGCCGTCATATCCACGAAGTGAATGATGATGAGTGGGCGAAGCTCCGGAGGTAAACCTGGTAAACCATGAATCCTCCGTACATTTTGCCCACTCGATTTTATTGCAACGCTCCCCCTAGCGTACGTCGCCGCACTATATCGAACGATGACACGCGCCACATGTGGCATCATTCCTATTTTATAACACCTCGCATCTTTCATAATCAACTACACGTACCGCCGTCTAGTTTATAACATCTTGCATCTTTTGGACGGATGGACGGACGGACGGATGGATGGACAGATGGACGGATGGACGGACGGACGGACGGACGGACGGACGGATGGACGAACGGACGGACGGACGGATGGACGGACGGACGGACGGATGGACGGATGGACGGATGGACGGATGGATGGATGGACGGACGGACGGACGGACGGACGGATGGATGGATTGACGGATGGACGGACGGACGGACGGATGGACGGATGGATGGATGGACGGACGGACGGACGGATGGATGGATGGATGGATGGATGGATGGATGGATGGATGGATGGATGGATGGATGGATGGATGGATGGATGGATGGATGGACGGATGGATGGATGGACGGATGGATATGGCTGTACCCTTTAGATCGGGCGGTGCCTAGCGTAATACTTAGAACTGAACGAGAGGTGGCTACATACAGGGGACGCACAGCCCACGCCTTAAGGAGCTTCGCTCCTAAAAAGATGCGGTGCCGAATAAATGCACTGCAGTCGCTATTATGGAAGTCATTATGCGGGTCGCTCAATCCCCACAAGCCTCTTTCGCAAATATGATGAATCATCCGCAGCCTACGAACATTGCCACAACCGCATCGCACGTTCAAATGCTTTGCTCTTCACCAAAGCCGACACGGAACCAATGTAGCAGAATACTTTTAAGGAATCCGGGACTACCGGTAGTAATCTAGGAAACGCGCCGATGTACAAAGACAATTGAATGGTTAATATGTTTTCGCTCTATAGAAAATTCAGGCAGCATTGTCCGCATGAAAGCGTTCGTCATCTCCTGGACCTGATGAAGTCACTCACATGACACTTGCTAACCTTGGATAAACAGCTAAGCGTGCCCTCCTAGTTGTATACAAGACTCAAAGAGCAACAGTTTGGTTCCTCGTTCATGAAAGTCGAGTCGCCTTGAGCCCCTGCGTAAACTACATAAATCTCCTCTGGACACAGCCTCATATCGCCCTCTCGCGCTTGCGAACTGTTTTGGAAAGGGGATGGTGATAATGGTGCTGACTCGCCTATAGTGGTACTTGGAGCAGAACAACATTGTCACGTCGCTCCTGGGGTCTAGATTAGGTTTGTTTAGGTCAAGCAACAGGGCTCTCACCAAGCGCGTTGGTTAGGCTTCTTCTTCTTCTTCTTCTTCTTCTTCTTCTTCTTCTTCTTCTTCTTCTTCTTCTTCTTCTTCTTCTTCTTCTTCTTCTTCTTCTTCTTCTTCGATTGGTCAAGTGTTAGGTGACTTTTTTTGGGAGTGTGTTTCTTCGCATTACTACTCGTGTATGCTAGGGA